TGCACGCCTTCTTGGTGCGTGCGAATTTTAATTTATGACATACGCAAAGGAAACAAAAAGGTGATAATCTTCTTTTTTTTCAATCCCTGAAAGCTTAGAACTTCCGTTACTATCTAATTAAAAAAGAACTTATATTTCTAATTTTATCGCGAATTTCCGACACAGGTTCTTAACCAGACGCACCTTTTTTTTTTTTTTAGTTCGTCTTTAGCCAGTCTTGTGAGGGGTTCACGAGAACTTACGTTTATACGTTTATTATATTACCGGAATCTGCATGTGAGGTCGGTTTGAAACCAACACCAAGCAGAAGACTCACCAAAGCATAACGTTCCATAGTCAATGATCTTTAATGTAGTTGAAGGGCTCAAATAATATGTAAATTCGGTTTGCCTAGTGTTAGGAAATCAGCTAGTCTGACACAATCATCTTAATTTGACCTTGTTTCGGCATTTCCTGTTCAACAGGAAATACGTAACAACTGTCAATATCTTTATGTGATAATTGTGAAATATGTGCTGACATGCAGATGAAATACAAATAAAAAGATTATCCTCACAGGTGAGCGGCACTTAAAGCAACTGCACAAAAGAAGTTCGACTCGAACTTGTGCCTTCCAGATACTAGTTAAATCCTATTACTAGCTAAAAGAGGAAGCGAGATGTCGGGAGCGCTCCCAATACCTGGCTTCGAGAAAAAATCATAGAGTAGTCATTATATAATTGGTCCGGGCCCCAAAAGTGATGAATATTATTTCGTCAGTTGCACCAATAATTTTCCATATCGTATGGCAAAGTATTTCTTCTGATACAGTATTTTACTGAAATACGCATGACACTTACAAATCTTATTTGTTATCATGCAATTATGGACTACAAACTCTTGCATGTGGACGACAAGCGCTGGCCGTGTTTTCACGAGCATTTCTTCAAAAGGCTTAGCGAATGGCTAACGCTAGATCAAAAATTTCGTAAGAAGAATTGTTTTACTAACTCTCATAAGGTCAAAAAGGCTAAGTCACGTTGTGAGTTTGTGCACTGAGTTCTTCCAGTTCGACACTTGTGGATGTCAAACCTCTCTTGTTCCCTATCAGGAAAAGGCGCAATTTTGTAACCATCTTTGTCTTGTAATTTTTCCCCATATATTACAATGCTTTCGATTCCTTTGCATTTTCTTTCCTTCTTAATACGTGTCTGATAATGTGTTTTTTAGCATGAGCAATTACAATCTTATAGTCTGAAGTAAAAAAGTTGAAACAAGTTACGGTTTTTTGGCGTTAATTCAAAGGCAAGGTGTAATGAAATTCGGGTTTGTTTTCCTAGGTGTCACAAGATGCAAAATAGTTATATTCAATAAAAATTTCCGGAAATTCCACCTAAATATCAAATAGAACAAAAAGTTTCTGGAATCTCGCTTTAAAAATTCTTGACAAGCCCTCGAGGTCGTCCATTTTCGCGGAAATTTGGACCAATGAATGCTAACCTGACGTTTCATAGGTGCTGTGGTAGTATCACAGTACTATCATAGTAGCATCAAAAGCGAAAGGATAGCTAGGTTCGTTTATCATAGAAAATACATGCAACATAATCACAGGAACGAGATGTTTTCTGCCTGTTACAAAATACTGTTGCATTGGACACACGAAATGTTTAAGAAATTCCAAACGGGAATCTTCGGTCGAATGGAACGTGCACAGAATGTCAAAGAGGATCAACAGTTCATAAGTATTAGTAATGATAAACATGTAAAAGTTGCCTAATAGTAACTTTCAATGCGTTTCAGTGGCAAAAATTTTATTGTGGACATCTTTCTAGAAGCATTTTCCCAATTAATTTTGCTTCAAAAGTTGGCTTTAGTTTGAATTGATAATTATTTAATTTCATAATAATAATCGGTTTTGCCTGACGCCGAAATGTCGGTGTCTATTACGTTATGATTACTGGCTGTTTCTCTCTTCCGTTGTTTACAAACAAAAAGGACAAAAAGTCTTCTGTTTCAGTCCATGTGACCTCTAAACTTTCAATGGTCAAAACAAAATTTTCTGGTATTTTACTCAAGGCCATTGCAGATATGAAACGACGGTCAACGTATCAGCTGACCAATCATGGCGTGTCACAGTATTGTACACATAAATAGGTTTTCTTCAATCTAAAATAGAAATATTAAAAATATCGTTTGTATTGTAGCCAAACGTGTAAAAAAGTGTACCGAAATTATTTGACCATCTTCCCTTCGATCCAAATTAGTTTCCAGGGAAGTAAAAAAATATTGAACTAAGCAAAAATGTTTGTGACAGATATTAGGTGAACGAAAAAGGAGGAGTCGCTTGTTCTCTCGTCACGTTTGGGGTTGATAATCCACTTGAGTTCTCTAACCAAAAACATGTTATTGAGTTAGAAACATCGCCAAACTAGGTAAAAATAGTTCAGCATGTGAAATAACTTGAACTGTGTCTGTTCAAACAAAACGTCAGTTACCCCCGCTAACGTTTAATTCTCACGAACTCGCACGTCCTCAAACAAAGGTCGGCCCTTAAAAAATTGTTGCTATCCAGTTAAGTATAAAATCCTTCCAAAAACACATAAGTTTCCCTTGCTTACGTTTAAGAGTGGAAAATTTTACGGTAAAATCCTGAGGTATGTATTTTTTGTAATTTTAACTACGTTTGGAAACTTTCTAAACATGACCTTCAAGGATTCACCGAAACCGCAATTAATTTTACGGGTCACTCGTTTACTCTCACGGGTCACTCTTGAAAATCATTCTCGAAAACAAATTAATGTAATTAGGGTTGTCTCTGACGATAACTGAGGTTCTTGATTCCCACGACTTGGAGAGGCATTGATGCATATAACAGGTGCGCACGCAACTCTATCAAGCTTCTTATAACTCAGTAGAAATTTGAACCCAATCAGTTTTAGCAAAACCTCGCCATCATCAATTTTTTGGCAGCGTTTCTGAGTGATACTGCATGCAACACCAAAAGAATTACAATGAAAGGTATTAAACAAGGAACAGGTATGTGAAATCTGGCTCTTTGATGAAGAATTCGCATCTTAAGGAGACTTTCGTCGAACACTCATCAGTGCGTAGATGCAATGCTTACTTTTTAAAATATGAGATTGTTTGCACATCTATTTCATTTAAACATAATTCCTAACCCACTGAGTTTGTATGCGACTAATCTTGCAAATAGGAAGAACTTTCGAGAAGTCTACTCTGTATTATTAACGAAAGAAACAGAGGTTGAACTCCAAACGTTTTGGAATGTCTTTTCATGGTGGCTTTGAATAGAGAATAGTCAGATTGTCTGACACAGCCGAACAGTCGAACTTTCGCGCTCGTGGTGGCCTATACGGTCCCACAATTTTGGTTTTCCGAGCTCAACACAATTCTATTTTCCATCTCGATCGTTCATTCGTTTTATCGGAAAGATCCTCTTGGAGTCAGCAATTTCAGTTTTAAATTTGCTTTACCTTTGAAATGGCTATTCAATGTCTAGTCAAAGACTTGATGGAAAACTATAGTCAGTTTTTGAACATGACTTCCCAATGTAACAAATATCATGTGAATATTTGGTTGATTCGTCGAATTTCGTCCGGCCTAAGATTTAAGTCCTTTCCAGCTAGCTGGCTCAAAGTTTTGGCGACAGTTTTTCTCAACAAACTTGAATTTTGATCTGGCTCAAAAGATAAAACAGAAACGTAAAACTGCCACGTTGATAAATGCGGTCATACATCTTGAAATTTTTATGTATGTGGGGCGTATGAATGGTATTTTCCCTGGGCGCAGGGAAACAGGAGAAATTCCGTTTTTCATCAGTTTACAAAATCTAGTTGATGCCGATCCCCGGTTAAAGGAAATTGGCGAAGGATTTCTGCCCTTCAGTTAGGCCAAGCAAGTGTTCCGAATCATTAAAGTTTCCCCGCATTGATCGTTCAAACACACGTGATGGGATCTGTTCTTTACCGGGTATGAAGGGGCAATCCATGCATGTGACCCAACTGAGGCCACACAATTGTTTAATTACCACATACATTATTACTGAGTTTGAGAGGTATTATTCCTCGCGGCTTCGAACGTTTCTTAGATTCTAAATAACTGCATTTTGTACGTATTTGGAGATCGGAGGTAGAATTGACTTCTGGTCGTTTGCATTTGAAAAATTTGAGTACAACAAATTTAACGAGCTCACAAAGCAATACCGGGAAGCGGAAATTTAATGAAGTAGTTCTTCGCGCTTGATGGATGTGAGATGGTAAATAGGCACCATGCGAAAAATTTGAGTACAACAAATTTAATGAGCTCACAAAGCAATACTGAGAAGCGGAGAATTTAATGAAGTAGTTATTCGCGCTTGATGGATGCGAGATGGTCAATAGGCACCATGCGTTAATTGAATAATTGGTAATTGTTATAGTCTCGAAGTTTGCCTTGCTCTACACACGATTGTCATTGGCTGATAGTAAACATATGACCCTGCATAAATTTAAATCCCGATCGGGATACATTTATTGAATGAATGTTTAGGTTTTGAATGTTTAGGTTTTGCACGTGATCAGAGCGCGGCTGAGGTGGGTGGTGTATTTGTGGTGTGATATTTCTAAATGCTCTTATCTGGAACTTCCTGTCTATTTTAAAAAAAATAATGACATGTAACTTTCTCTTTGATTATTCTTGAAAATGTTATGGACAAGTCTGTGGCCAAAAAAGTAGCTTTTGTTTACTTCATCAAAAGACGGAATCGAAAACTGGCGGAGCAGAAGGCCTCCAAAAATACGGTTCTTTAAAGGAACATCTGGAGTGTTTGCAAGAAAAACAAGTTATAGTGTTATAAACGCACAACTTTTGGCCTTTTACTTTGTGCAATTTCCCAATCAAAAGCACCTATTGATTGTTAAGTTCCGTCGGTTGTTCAATTCATTCTGTAACGTGCGTGGCACTGATCATAAAATATCAAAGCTGGAATGACTTCACACCGCACTATGACCTCTTCTCTTTAGGTTCAGCTCTGCTGCTCTTGGCACTTTTTGTAAATTTTCAGTTTATACCATCAACAAGTGCAGCCCCAATTGATTGCCAGAAGAACACTGCTGTCTGCTTCGAAGAAATCATGAAGGAACTGACCCAACTTCGATTTGAGGTTAAAATTCTCACCGAGAACAGAGCATTGGTGGGATGTATGTGTACTTTTTTTTAATTGTACTGGTTATTCCATTTTATCTTTATCATTATACAGTGTATCCCGAAAAAGGTAGTCTTATGCAGGGCGATTTCCATTTATTTTCAGAGGAATAATTTTTTGCGAATCGAGATGACAAAATTTTCAGCATGCTTGGAGCTCTTATCTTTAGCAACTCTTTGTTCAAGCTGCTGTTTAGCTGAACATTGACAACAGAATAATTTAAATATTCTAAACTTTTTTCGAATCTTTGGTCATTTGTCGAGTTTTTTCAAAATAATTTTTTTATTCTTATCTTATGATTTGATGCGCTTTTAAAAGATAAAAGATATATGAAGAATCCAAGTCCGTAGTCTTCTCTCCAAGACAGATACTTTGTCAGATGATATAAGCACGTTCATACCAAACCCCCTCTTTGAGAGCATGCCCAAAACGTCAAGCATCTTTATTTTATCTACAACAGCTAGGAACTGTGCTGAGCTGTACAAATCCGGACGAAGGATCAGTGGTGTTTACACTATCGACCCAGATGGTTCAGGCGCCTTTAATGTATATTGTGACCAAACTACAGCCAACGGGGGATGGACAGTGATCCAGAAGAGAATGGATGGCTCCGTTGATTTTAACCGCACCTGGAACGAATACAAACATGGCTTCGGTAACTTGGTCGGTGAGTTTTGGCTCGGACTGGACAAGATAAACCGCCTGACTCGAAACAAGACAAAGAATAAGCTTCGGGTAGATCTGGGGGTAACTACTGGCAAAACTGTTCACCCTGAGTATGACTGGTTTGGGATTGGGAACGAGACAGCTAAGTATCGGCTATATATTGGCAATATTACAAGTAAGTTAACGGTTTTTTTTTTTCGGCATTTATCATTCGATTTATATATATTAATTCACTCTCATTTAAATCTCAATATTTTACTCTACTTGGTCGAATAATGGTATTATAAGTTGGCAAGGTAGTCCTGAGGTAAACCTGAATGTCTGATTGGTTCTTATTCGGTCTGGAGTTAGGTCTTTGTGCCACGTAAGGAGCTCACTTCTTACTAACCTTCAGTTTTTCCTTTATTTCCTTTTTTGCGGAAAACAACAAGTTATTCGCGGGAAAAAGGCGTTATAAGGATCCTAGAATTATGCGAATTTCTTTTGTTTTGTTTTGAAACAGATGCCACCGTTTCCTCTGATTCCCTCGGTCCCCACAGGAATCTCGTTTTTGGTACCTGGGATAGAGAACCTGTTGATTGTGCTCAAAGAAGTGGCAGAGGCTGGTGGTATGGCAACGGTATTAAATGTGCTGTTTTTTCAAATCTCAATGGTATTTATCCGCGTTGTGGAAGGAACACTTCTGCAGATATTCACTGGGCAGAGTTAGATCGAACCAGTGCCGAAGGCAGCGCTCCTTCATCAACTGAAATGAAAATTAGACCGGTGGACTTTTAAAAACTTTGTTAGAGATAAGTACACAGCACATAAGTAGATAGTGATTTTTTAGCGTGCTCTGATAATATCCACCTCTGAGCAGCTAAGGCGACGAAATCGCGCGTCAAAGTTTAATTTAGGTTATGAATTGGTATATTGTCAGAAACAAACAATCTTTTTGGTTTCTTTGTAGTAAAAATTCCAACATTGGCTTTTGGTAAATATGCCCCATTGCAAACGTGCCCCCCTACCTTCTTCACGGGTTCGTCAGAAAACGTAAAACAAGTTCGCCTGCGTATTTACCAGTTCTACCCCAAATCTTTCGACTCGTTTCCTACCACAGATTGTGATAAAGTTTTGTCAAAATCAAAATATTTTGGCGACTAGCATGCAACATGTCCCCTGAATATCTACAACCTCGATTTATATCTCGAAATGTTATTACTTCGTATTGACTAAAGAATCCTGCGTACAAATTGGCTATTCTACTACTGAAACCAGCTATTTGAAGAGGAGTTTTTCCTTTAGCGGTGCCATGCTATGGAACAGACTTTGGCAAGAACTCTGCTCAACAGTTTCTTTAAGCGAATTAAAAACTACGTCATTATAGCTTTTAAATGAGACACAGTATCTTAGAAAAACAGCTTTCATGATATAATGGGTTTTTAAACTTTTAATGCTGTATTAATCATTAGTAAGTAAGCAGAATTTTTATATTTTATACTCCTAGATTGTGTTGAAGAATTTTACCGTGTAGAAATAAAGTTGTCTATCAATCTTTCTATCTATCTGACAAGCGCTGCCCTTTCACGTGTTAACGTGGAAAGTTATCGAGATAAACAACAACACTGAAGTGGATTCATTTTCCATTTTTTTCGAGTAAATTTGCAAATCAGCGTCCGAGTGCAAATTTTTACTTTGCTTTACTTATATAGGAAAAGATTATGAGCGATTTTTGAGTAAGAAGAGGACGATGTTCGATTCCGAAGCTAGATTTCAACGTACACGCGGTTTCTTCTTGCATTTGTGAAAGAATCGCTGCCAGAAACAACTAACTTTAATTTAACTGCTTCGCAGCATGCGCACCGTTCGCAAAGAGACCGAAAGTTGAAGGCAGACAATCCTCTTGGCCCAAGTCCATTAAGATAGTGCACCTGGTCTTCTAAGAGAGCGTTAACGGGCGGCACAATAAATATAGTGACCAGTTTATTCCAGTGAAGCGAGGCGATCGATCACTGGCGCTGCTTGATATATTAAAGATTTTCCATAGCCATTTGATAACGAAACGGAGACACCTTTACCTTCGAAAAACATATCTCCCTTAGTGTCATCAATTGCAAAATGCTTCCATTCGATAGAAAAAATTTCCGGAAATTCTAGTAGAAAATCGAATGGAGAAGAAAGTTTCCGGACGGCAGAAAGCTATTTTGGATACAATGTACGCCATGAATGGATTACTGGACCCTTGACCAACCTTTTATGTTAATGATAATCTTTGATAAAATACCAGGACCCCTTTGTTCAAAGGGCAGATAATGCTATCCAACGGATAAATCGTTATTAAGCGCTTAAGTGTTAACAAAACGTACTGTGTTATCCACCGGATACAGATTTATCCAGTGGATAGCGTTATTCACCCTTCGAACAACCGGAGCCAGAAATTCTGTCTTTGGCCATTAAAAGTTCACATTGATGGAAACAGATGATTTGTTTTTATGTTTTGTACGTGCGTGTGTTTTTAACGGAAGTGAAAACAGCCTCAAATCGCCAATACTTTTGAAAGCAATTCAAGTGATTTTTTCCACTATCCAAAGTATGATGATTGCATTTGACCAATCATCAGCTATCAATTAACATGTCGAAACCACCGGATATGGTACGCTGACATTTTGACGTTGGGCAAAACCGATTATCGCCGTAAAAATTAAAGAAACGTTATGTATTGAAAACCAAAGCCAGCTTTTGAAACCAAAGGGTAACAGTGGGAAGCTGGAGCTCAACTTTTTAACGATAAATAGTATATACTGAAACAGCGGATTACGTCTAAGACGCGGTCTGATTGGCTACACAAATTCCGAATATGCTTTGCTGTTTACCTCCGAGCAATGCGCGCAGGATTTTCGCCCGAAAATGTAATAGTTATTTTAAGATTAAATGAGTCAAAATCATACTTAAGCGCGTATATTATTTCACTATTTTAGTTTATAATAAATCAATTATTTACCTCGCTACAGCAGCTCGCTACAACTGTAAATAGGGACCTTTCGTAAACCACGACGGCGACGGCAATGAGGACGAGGCAAACAAAAGGTTTAATGAGCAGAACAATAACTCAGTACCTGCGTTTGAAGACCGTGTGTATTTCTTAGCCGTCCTCGGTAAAATAGGGACCTTAAGCAAACCACGACGGCGACAGCAACGAGGACATGGAAAAAAAAAAGGTCTAATCGGCAGAGCAATAGCTCAGCACGTGCTTTTAAAAACTTTGTACATTTCTTAGCCGTCCTATGCAAAACAACAACATGAAATCACCACAATTTGCTTCGTCTGCAAACCGAAACCGCTACGGCAAATTATTTTAATTTCCATTTGAAACTCAAAGCTTCTTTTACACGTTATGCTGAAGTTGAGGTGTAAGGGAAAGGTAATAAATCAAGGGGTGACCATAACCGCTCAATACAGGACGACTCTACGGAGCACTGTATGTTCATTGTGCTAGGTATCACTGCAATTCGCGAGGAATTCGTGGTGGTGTTATCTGCATTGAAAACTGCTTGATAAGGACGGAATTAGAATATTATGATAGCATACCTAATATTTCTTGACTCAGCGATATTGCATGGTATACCTCTGTAGCAGTATCACATCAGAAGGTGTATATCATTAATAATAATTATATTTCGAGTAACCCGCTCGGAAATCTGCCACGTTCCCTGAAACCACAATGTGATATTCAATGTGGATAATAAACCTTATATTTTTTGGGTCAACAATACCGTATACTGAAAGGTATAACTCAGTGGGTTGTCGCAATATCGTATCAGATGGTACACATCAATCAATGGTCATTATATTTCATGTACCTTATTGGTACTTAATTTCGCGGGTCTTTAATTTCGCGTTTTTCGCGATTGTAAAAAAATCGCGAAATTAAAGACCCGCGAAAAAAAATCCTCGCGAAATTTAAACACGCGAAATTTAATACCCATACAAAAAAATCAAACTGTAGAAAAAAATGATTTATTTAATGGCAACAAAAGGCAAAATATTAACTGGTTTCTACTCGTAAATTCCATTATGAACGTTGCCGCGAACCACTGAAACAATGCGTTTTCACGTTGTAATACATTTATTTTTAACGTTAATTTTCAAATATGTGTTTTGTTGTGTTCCAGTTATCTAGAAACTTTAAACAGTTCAGACCTTTGGAAAAATAAAATAAAGTTGAGAACGCTTCAATCGCGAAATTTAATGCCCTTTTTTCATATTTGCCTATTGAAATCGCGTAAATAAAACCCCGCGAAATATTGCCTCGCCAAAATCGCGAAATTAAGTACCCGCGAAATTAAGTACCAATAAGGTAATACGCACAGAAATCCAGCACGTTCATCGAGGTAACAAATGTGATATTCAATGGCTCCGTTAGGTTTATTAGTTTAACGAATTAGCACCATCTTATCTTGTTTCGTCATATTTCTGAAAAAAAAAAAAAAAAAAAAGATAAAAAAAACCAAGACGGAGTTTCAACTCGGGCGAATCCTTTGGAAAGCCCGAGTAATAGCAGAATACCAAATATTGCGGTTCATTTCAATCTTCTTCATCCCATAACAGATGACAACTGTAAATGGGGACCTTTCGTAAACCACGACGGTGACGGCAATGAGGACGAGGCAAACAAAAGATTTAATGAGCAGAAAAATAACTCAGCACCTGCGTTTGAAGACCTTGTGTATTTCTTAGCCGTCCTCGGTAAAATAGGGACCTTAAGCAAAGCCTCTTTACATATCTGTTTCACATGAACCGGTTTTTTTTAAATTTTCATTTTGTCCACATGAATTCGTTGTCCTCTCATTTTAGGTGTTTGGGTTTTTTTTTTGCTTTTAATGTCTATTGTCTATACAAATACGTAACAGCAATCTTTCTTCAAAAGCCTCCGTTTATTGTCGTCCCAAAAGAGAGAACTTTTTCTTTAGGCTCCTCTTTTGGACCAAAATCTCCATTTCTAACAGAAGTTTTGGTTGTTTTAGTGTTAAAAATAGGTGGACGTGCCCTAAAAGATATGCGTTTTCAAATAGAAAATCATAGGTGTGGCCTATACCTAAGGCCTGGCACCTTTAAGGAGGAGATCGGACAGCGCTCGCTCTAGTAAATATGGCAATGAATGACACTTGTAAGGGAGCCTTGCGTGTTAAAGTCAAAACATCAATAGTTAGCGATTACTCACCGAAGTGTTATTACATATCCATCACTTTCATCAAAACTGAGGTAAATATTTTTTCTACTTTATACCAGTATGAACATTTTCTAATACTCAATCTTGTTATATTTTTACTTTCTTAGGTAAACCTGAAAAAACTAATCACGAGCATTGTGTTGAAAACATACTTTCTTTATTAATGAATGTAGGGTTGTTGAATTAGACCAATGAAAGGTATCTTTTGACCTATGAATGGTCTACAATAACAAAACAGAAAAATGGCTTTTCAGTCAGTATACCGAGAAAAAGAAGAAAAGAAAAAAATAAGAGTGCTTGCATATTGAACGTTACTTCTCTGAAATATTCTTGCAGATCCTGTGCTCCTGGTTATTTAGGCCTAAAAAGGGGAACGTCTCGAAGATTAGTTGTGGCATATCTTGTTCACTATCTTCCATGTTCATTTGCAGCCACCTGCATTGAAAACAACATTGCAGTAAAGCCAAATTTTTGGGGCTATCCAACGTCCACACATCCACAGTCGCTGGGGTTTTTAGTCTGTCCGGAAGATTACTGCCCTTCAGTTGCAACAACATAATACAACAGTTGCCAGGGGAACAGGATCGGCACCCTCTGTGGAAAAGGTTTCACTGAAACCCTTCTCTCGTCTGAATGC